TCCGTTCATTTTCCAACTAAGTCGGGGGGTACGTGTTTCCTGGAGAACATTCGTCCACATACTGATGAGTTATTTATATTTGCAGCAAGTCATCAAGGGCATGGACATCGCCATGACCGGTATGTGCGAGGGCGAGCGCCGTAAGGTGATCATTCCCTCGGAGTATGGTAAGTTTTTCTAGAATTGAACACACTTCTAAATATTTGATCCTAATTTCCAGGCTACGGAGATGAGGGCAGACCACCACAGATTCCCGGAAAATCTCGTCTCTACTTCGACATCACCCTCGAGAAGTTGATCAAGAAAGATGAACTGTAAAGAACTTTGATTGAGCAGTTAGTGAGTGATCGATGAACGTGTACTCTTCTACGATGAACTCAAACTGGCGCATCTTGCCCAGATTTTTTTCGTTATGTGAACTTATAAATGTTTTTTGATTACTACGTTGATTAACTGATTGATGTACCGTTGCACAACGAGCTAATTATCATTTTATCTTGATAAAATTGTTGTAAGAATTTTAAAGAATCCTCCTCGAACTTTAATACTTAATACGGCAGCTTTCTCGCAAAAGTTCATTGATTTACGAAATTAGAAACAAACTTTTACGGTTGCAGGTAGGTGTTTTAGCTAGGTAAAAGCAATTATTGCCCATCAATATGGTTTCTTAAGGGATTTTGGATTCTTGATTGAAGGGTTGGCAATAATGATAGATCAAGGAAGCAATGAAGTAGAACTGAAAATTGAAGTTTTGATGCGATATTCTCAATTAAGGAGTCAAAATACTGTCGAACAAATGAGGAATCTGACTGTGATCATGAAAACATCCATTCCGCGAGGTAGGATTAGCGGTAGGCGTCACTGAATTTACGGAATCGCCACAAAATTGGTTCTATGAGGTTATCTGGCACACGCCGCATAATTTACACGTTGTTTATTGTGAACATCTTAGATATATGAGAAAATTACGTTATAAAAGGAAATTATGCATCTTATTGCAACCCTTCTGTT